GTTCGTCGGCGTGTAAAATGGGACAAGTATCGCTATACAGTTGAAGATCTTGTCAGCGATGCACTCGGTCTCGGGAAGATAAGCAGCAAGACGTGAAGAGCTCCTTTCTTACGTCGAATATCTATCCGCTGGATGTAGAATTTTACGGCGGGATGAATTGTGGCAGTTGCGGGAGAGAACTAAAGCGCTGAAAATATAAAACGCAGGAGAGTAGAATGCACTTCTTCGTTATAACTTATCACATTTGCGTGAGCAGAAGAGCATTACGAGCGCCAGGGATAATGCAATCTATTTTTATAAAGAATACCGAGCGGACGTTGAAATAAACTATGCTGAATAATCTAAAAGAATTAAATAATAACTATTTTAAATTAAATTATCTAAAACTGTTTCTTACTAAATTATAAACAATTTAGATATGAAAAACTCACTTAATGAAGAAATGTCACTTTTGCAAGAATTACGAGTTTCTAACAGACGCTTTTCTGATAATTTATAGCGAAAGTCTCGTAAAACATTTGCACATTAATAATACAAACCTTTGGCATCTAATTTCCTTATAATATCGGAACAATGCATACTGCATTAGTTTGTAAAACCGCTTTCAGAAATATCCAAAATTGGAAGATTCATAACAAGTTTGGCATGAATTTTTCGCACTCTCCACGTTTATTCGTTTCTTAACATAGCACGGCAATTATTCTAAATCGATCGCCGAGAGTTGAAATTCGCGATATTTCTTCTGCACGAAGTCTTATTTATACGTGACCGGATATTCTCTTTTATTGATTCAACCTGGAGCATCATCGACACGACGAACGTCCAGGGAGTCGTTACTGCTCATAGATAACAGTCAACGTTCCGCGAGAGCGAGCGGCATCGTTTTATCCCTCCTTCCGACACCCTTAGTACATTTGTTGCGAGCGACTTTACGAGGAACTTGAAAGAACGAGGACAAGGGTTAAAAAAGATGAACGAGGGATGAAAAAGAGGAGGAGGGAGATGATGCAACGATCGTCACGCATTTAGCGTGCATCGGCGAATGGCTGTATTTGCTGGTCCCGGTAATAAACTTTTATCTCGCGATACGTATACGTGTATCTCGGGAAGCTCTCTCTCTTTTTCCCTCTTCGCCCTCTCGTGCCTCGTTGCCTTTTTCCGTCCGGTGCGCGAAAGCGGTGGTGGTTGGCGCAGGGCGGCGGCCACGAGGGGTGGAAAGCGCGCGGTGAAAAGAGGGAAAAGAGAGGCTTCGCCATCCCGTGCGTCATCTCCCGACGAGATAAAAACTTTAGCGCTCGTTGGAAAAATGTGGCCACCGCGACGGTTGGAGAATAGCGGGTGGGCGACGGTGGAAGCACCGCGAGAAAATCGCGGAAACTGCCGCGCCGCGTGCTCGAAAACGGACGTGTATCACGGTGGCGGAAGCGACGCGTTTTGCGGGTGGAGAAATTTTCCTTTTAATGTTACATTAGAGCGCAATTATCGCGACTTGGCCGAGCTCGCGCGATTTCTTGCGACAAGCGGGGAGAAAAAGCGTCGGCAAGTCTTCGGGCAAACTTCGGCGAAGCGCGCGCGTTGCTTTGATAAGAATTAGCGAATCAGGTATATTCGATTCTCGAATGAGGTTAATGAAAGATGAACGACTTGAAAAACTTAAATCGCACGTAGGAAGTTTTCGGCGTTGTTTTGCGTTTTCGAAGGATATGTAAAAGAATTTATTTCGATAAAGGCGAAACTTTTCTCGGCTGTAGCGTATTTATATTTAAATCTGCCCTCAGCATTTAAATGATCTCGCTAACAAAACGAAATAAAAACAAGGGTTTTTTATATAAGCATGAATTTTTTACATTGATTTTCTCGAAAGTTACCTTAGGAGTCGAGCACTTCCAAAGCTGATTTCTCGCGCGAGGTAAGAGTGGGCGGTGAAGCAGTTAACTGGGTGTTTTAGCGGGGTGACACATCGTTTGAGCGACAGGCGGAAAGAAGTTCGCCGAACTATGTCGCCATTGTGCGACAAAATGTTAAACTGGTATTCGACAATCACCTCACCGCGTGGCTTCATAATATTGCGTCCGAGCTCGCGCGATTAGAGAGGATAGGTATATGCAAATTCGCGAAATCCGGCTATTATGTAAAGCGGCGGAGAGAGGACCGGTCGGTGACAGAACCGGGATATTTGCGTCGATGTAATGGATCGGACGCTGAAAAATCGCGTCTGCGTAGAGTTTTATACCGCGAACGTCATCGAGTAACCGAAGAAACATTTTAATGAACTTAAGTGAGGAAGTGGCGTAAATCGTGTCTTTAAATTTGAAAAATAAAAGTTCGCAGCTACTTTGTTATAATTTTCTGTACGTAACGAGGAAATTGTAGAGCGAACATTGATTACTGAAAAACGTCGAATTTCAAGAGTTGGCGAAGTTTAAGATCATTAGTGTCAGCCGCTTGTCATAATGCACGAGATTCTACCGGATTGGCATGATTCCGCAGGCAAATAACTTCATAACAACGAACTCGATAAATTGGAGCCCGTGAAATTTCGCGCACAAGGGCGTTAACAAAGTTCCACCTCATTTCCTACTTCGGTAATAAGTTTTGTCCAACTCGGTCAAACCGTTCTCCCTCCCTTCCTCTCTCTCACCCCCAAGTTATCTGTCGGGCGAACGGATGGACGGGACAAATTGGACGTTACGATGAAGGAGGGACGCAGGAGAGGGAAGGGGGGATAGATAATCTAAAATTAAAACATACCGCTCTGATCGACGCGGTGTTACATACGTCGAACGTGCGGGGAATCGAGTTTCGCGTGGCGCTCGAGTTAAGCCAATTGATTATCCTTCCGCCGCGGGCGGAATTCCCTCCCCCCCCCTCGTCCTTAATCGCGGGTATCAAATTTCTCGCTATACCTGTTAAGCAGAGTCTACATTATCGAGCTGAGCCTCGAGCTCGCGACGAAGTTCGGCTTGAGATTTGGCTCGATAATGTGGAATCTGCTTAAATTGCAATTCGTAATCGCATTTATCGGGGTTATCGAGCGTGATGCCTTAGCTTATTTTGGACCACCACTGCTTCATGAATCATTCCAGCAAATGTCTAGAATTTGATTAATCTTTTACAAAAAGAAGGAAACAGAGATTCGAAATTAAATAAAGCTCTAAATTCTACTAACCTCATTTTACAATGTAAGTTACTTCATACTTTTATTTATTTACACGGTTTTGAAGTGGAGGAATTATTATTTACCTTTGATTCGTAACAATAGAAGTGGAAATCGTAATTTTTATGATTACTGCGTCATTATGATGGATATCTGTAATTTAACTTTCATGCAGACAGTTCTAAATGAAATAAACGCAAGTTTACCGCTCGCATTCGGATGATGCGCATGATGGTGTATATCGAACCTTTCGCAGAATTAACTATTCCTCGTTAATACACCGTATCGTAAACCCTCCGCGGACTTAATGTGCTATTTCCTTATTGACACGCCGTATCGTAATCCTGCTTGAATGGTAGCAGCTTATGATAACGATAATCAGACATATGGATTGTTTAATCTTTAAGTGCTCAATGAATGAGCTGCAGTATTGAGGCTTTCGTGTTTTTTGCTCGAAGTTAATTGAATGCGTTTTATCATGATTGCTCAGGAGTGAATGATTGAATGATTGCTCATGGAACAAAATTATGCGATAAATAATTCACATATCAATTGCAATTATTCTGTTCAACATGTTGCTAATTTTCGTTTGTTCCGAATTCCTATAAAGAAGATTCATTCACGCGAATGAATCGCGAAAATGCGATCCATTATTCAATCATGCGTGTAAATTATACAATATCATATCGTACAATTTAATTTTATATTAATTTTATATTAATTTTATTTCTAATTTTCACATATTTTCATACACTATCGCGCATTCACTTTCGACGCGGGAAGAATGCGGAAAATGCGGAAAACGTCGATAATTTCCAGATCAATGCGAAAAAAAACGCTAACAGTATTTCGCTTTATTCACGATACGCGCGCGCGATTATTATGGGTGCGTCGTTCATCGATAAGTAATTATTAGATTCGCCACTATGTTAATAAGTGAAAACTCAATTTATATAACAATCATCCAATATTCTATTCGATCTTGGTTCTTACTGCCGCTCCATTCGATCTCGGTGATTCGGAGAATATCATAAAAACACTGTTTGTTTGCGAAGTCTTCGACTCAAGGGTACGCGATATATAAACACGCGCACAAAAAACATTCGCCTGGTGATCGCGGGCTTGAGAGGACGCGTGTTACGTCGTGCAGCCTAAACCTAAGGCTTAATCTACAATATGCTTCTTGCGTATTGTTTCTTGCTCCCTGCTTTTTGTATTTTTGAGTCTTTGTCGCCTGGAGTCAAGAAACACCGTGATCTACAATTTTTCCTTTCTGAATTTCTGAAGAAAAATATGCCTTTACATGAAGGCAAAAAAGCAGAAAATAAAAATCAAAAAGTATATTGTAGATTGAATTTAAATAATAACACGTGTTCCTAAATTCGTGTTGCTTGTGGAATAGAAAATGGATAAAATTATTCTATTCTTAAAATTGAGTACGCGATTGATAATGATTTCAAAAGTACATAAATCTTAAATTTGAAAAAATCAATATTTGGTCAACGACAAATAGCAATCTCGGCCAGTGAACGTTTTTTCTTGAATTTAACAATGCTCTGAAAATTGCTGCGTGACTTTTAATGCGAGGTTCCACCAATCGTAAAATAGCTACTACCACACATAGATAAATTTCAAAATTATTAAAGAAAAATATCAGGCGATCATCGTGATCACGTGAAGAGTAAGTATTTCGTGAATGGTAATACTCAATATTTCGATACGCGAGTCATAGCGAGGACTTCGTAAAGTTTCTTTTTTCGGAATTCCTCACGATTTTTAACTCATTCGCGTCGTTTCCGCTAGTTGCCGTTGGCGCGTTTGTTCTAGTCATCGACTGGCCGCCGTCGCGTATAGTTAAATTTTGGAGTATAACGTATTACGAGATAAATATCGGATAATCGTTATTACGTTTCGAGCATGAATAATAACTAGTAATACTTCGATGCGTGTATTAGCACAGAGATTAATCGAATTAATGGAGATTTATCGAGTTTGTTCAGTAGAATTCTTGATGATTGGCATCTTAACCTCTCACGCGTTTACGCGCCCGCTAGTCGAGCAACCGCCGCGTATATCATAAATTTCGGGAATGTCGAGAAATAATCGGGCGATTAACCGCGATTGCATCGTGTTTCGTATAACCTTCGCCAGTGATCGTGAATAATGTGATACGATATACTATTGCCGGGAATGCCGAAAAGTATGCCGAATATGAACCTTCGGTCTATGCGTTTGGTAATCGTCGGATAGCAATCGCTGCGAGTAAAATTTTAGGAGAAAAAATATCGAGCAATTATACTTCGCTAATCAATTAAATATTCAATCGAATTATAGATAATAGACGCGATCATTGAACGCCCTGAATTTGGCAATAAGAGCTCTAGCGATTATCGTGAGAATCCAATGGCGTTTATCTTAATGGCGTTGTTTCCATCTATCGTCGTCGTACTTCGCGCATCTCCACTAGTCGTCGATTATCTACATTGCATTGTTGGATTTCGGAGAGATTGCGAGGTAAATATCGGATGATTGTTGTGATTACGTCGAGTATATCACGAATAATAGCGAGTAATATTTCGATAGCATGAATCAAGCATTATATGGACGGTTAGCGCGAATTTTATCGTGTTTTCTTTTCGACAAAATTCTTGATTATGGGCGTCTTAACCTCTCAAATTTCTACGCATTCGTTAATCATTGAACAATCATTGCGTACCACCAATTTCGAAAATACCGTGCAAAGGTATTTATCGCGTCGGTTTTTAACCTAAGTTTCGCGAGTGATAGTGAATATAGTGTACTGAATAGCTTGCCGCACATAAATATCGGTAAAAATTTCGAATGTTTGTCGAATTTTAAATATCGTAGTGAGCTGTGATAGTGATTTGTCATTGTTGAAAAAATTGGACGAAACATAAAATGGCCGAAACAGCCGACGAGAAAAGAGTAGCAGGGCGATAATCGGTGAGTCTGCATAGAATAATCCATTATATGAAAAATTTTGTCTATTTGTGAAATAATTTGGGAGTATTATATATAATAATAAATCTGTTTCTTTATGGATTGTAAAAAAATATTGATTGATAATATAATTGAAGAGTTATTTTAAATTATATGTCAAAAGTCATACGTATTTTTCACATGTATTTTTCCATCGTTTTATTTACATCACTCTTTTTTTATACAAAATTGATTGATAAAAATAACAAGCGAAATGTTAAATTTTTTATCATGTTAAAAATACATAGAGTTTATATTTTCGGGTTATAAAATTATCCAACGCTTAGGTTCGCCGGCATTTACGGCAGGTTAGTAACACAATTATTCTTTCCAGCTTTGCGGTGGGCTGCCATATTACGAACGCTTTTTCCTCCATCTTCCTTCTTCCTCTATCATTCTTCAAAATCTTGTATTGTAATCTTCCATTAAGCGTGAATTTTTTTACCACTATTATTTATCACCGCATATAAGCCTCGAAAAGTCCGCTTTTGATAGAAATGTGTACAACAAAAGCTTACAATATCATATCAGCTTCAAAATTCTGACATATTTTTTTCTTTTTCCTAAAGCTGATAAAGGTGATACAATTTTATCTTACAATGTACAGGATTTTGACGTTCATATCTTTCAAAGTATTATCGCTATAGGAAATAAGTTCTAGGCCTTTGTTTTACGTCAAACTTAATTTTAAAAATGTTTTTTAATTTTAAACAAATCTTTTGGGCGAAAATCGAACGCAGGTCTCGCGCGAGAAGCGAAATAACATTATTGACACGCGCGTCGTAGTATACCAGCTTGTATAATCGCAAAATCAAACTGCCAGCGGTATCAATCGTTTCGCAAGACAGGCAATTAAGCTCGTCGAAATTGACTACGGATCGCTAAAACAGTTATTCTCTCTCTCTCTCTCTCTCTCTCGCAAGCTAATCAGGTTAACGCTCTTCTGCGAGATGATGCGTACGCGACAACGACAATCTCACGCGTTACAATCTCATGACGTTATGAGCGATAGACAGTTATGATTTCAGCGCGGCTTTTTGATCGGTAACTGTGAATATACATGTATCGCGCGAAGGAAACCACACTCGTCTGCTCTAGAAATATTCGCTCGATGTGGCATTATAAGGCAAGGCCACTCGCAGAGAAAGGATTCCGCGTATGCAGGGTTTTCCCACGTGTATAACCGCACTCTGGGCATATGTCGGTTTACAGTACGGGCTGTCTTGTGTAAACGTTCCCGTTGGTGTGCCGTTTGTTCCGCCACACATTTATTGTTAAATAAAAGTGAAGAATTTATACTACATAAATTATGCAGAATTTCAAAATTCATTGAAAGAGTGGACGAAAAAGATTCTTAACTGTTTAACTGTTTAACAAGTTCCAAATTGAGAGAAAAAAAAGAGTAAATTTTTAAATTTACTTTTTTTTAAAAAAGAGAAACAGCATCTTATTTTTCGAAATATGATAGTTGATTGACGCAGTTTTTTGTTTTGATATTTTTATTTTTGTTTAATGCGGTTAACTCTTTAAGCATATGACAATTTAAACCTGCTTCTTGCAGCGACATTTCAAGCAGAAATTGTTAAATTCGGTTCAAATTCTGCTTCTCTACGCTCCTGTAAAGTTTTATTAAGATCTAAGTTTCAATGTTACTTGATGAGACGTTGAAATACTGCTATAATTTTCTCTGAAGACAGAACTCAGAATAAAGTTAGCTTGGTTGCGACTTGTGTTACAATATGCCGTACTAATATAATATTAAGATATGTGTAACCATTTTGCGTGAAATATTCCGTACTTATTCCACGTCACTTATACTTCTGCGATCAAGCGGTGTGATACCTATATATATATATATATTGTTTACGATATAGTTGAGTTATATATTTTTCAACAATGACGGCCGTTACGATGTTTTTTTCTTTTTCGTGAGCAAAACACGATTATCTTAAGAGTGTTTCCTCTTAAGATAATCGTGTTTTGCTCACTCGTGTAATCGCGAGATAAAACGTACGCGTTTAATGACGAAATTACTGTTTAGTTAAATTTAGTTAACGTTAAATTGTTGTTTGATTTGATATAAAAATGCTGAGTTTTACATCTCTAAGATATATTTTTATATATCAAAGAAAGAAAATCTCCGTTAAGACGAAAATATGTGGCAATGGAATTATTAATAATAATAAAATGAAATTTTATGCCATTTATGTACACTCAGAGGATAGATAGGGTTATCCAGTCAAGCGTAGGATATTCTTTTGGTCGCGGAGAGAGAGGTTAACGCAACGGGTGCTCGAATTTCCAGTTAGCTTGAAGGGTTGGAGAAAATAATTCTCCGCGGGAGATGAAATATTTTCCGGTCGATGGCGCCCAACGTTGCGGACGAAGGATCGGGATCGGCCGGCCGGGTTTAAAAATAAATATTTTTACATCGGGAGCGAAAGATCGGGCGGTCCGTTTGGAGAGGGTGCGCTCCTCAGTTCCAGATACGCTGTGACGCATGACGGAGGCTACCGTTGTCAGCTTTATACTCTGCTGCCACAATTTCCGCGAATCGTTTCACCCCCGGCAGACCGTGGAAAATCAGTTTCCTTCCGCGTCGCTCGTTCTTACCCTGATACTGTTGGACGCGTGAAAATCTCCCGATTTCTAGCGTGGCTAATATTTTTTTAACTTATTTCTCTCGTGCTCGCATTTCTCCCTGCTTTATTATCGACCCGGTTTTGCTTAGTTTTATTTACATAGAGCGGAACAAATTAGTGCAACGTGTAGGCATACTACTGAAAAAAGTCCCAAGTGGCTTTGAATGAATTCTAGCGAGAGACAAGGCTGTCTCAGGTTCTGTGTTATTAGAAACTTTGCAGAAAATTATAATTATGAGTTTTCTTTTGTATATTATGTTGAAAAAAATTATTAATGGTAATAAAAATATGGAAATAATTATAAAACATTTGACATAATATGTGAATAAGTAAATATAACACTCAACACTTCGTATTGCATAGAAGTTTTAAAGCTTAATTAATAAATTATTTTTGTTTTAGATTTTGCAAAAAAATGTTAAGTAATTTTGAAATGTTTTTATCAAAATACTAGTACTTGTTTCTAGTTATACTTATTTTTACTAATACATATCTGTACATGTTTTTCAATATATTAATTTTTTTTAGAACACATAGTATTTCTTGGTTATTTTCAGGTTTTTTAAAACATGCTTGTTTCGTCGCGTGAGAGAGGAGATTTTTCGTAGAAAGATAGTAATAACGAGTTGAGACATACATAAGCCGCTTACGTAGGAATTTTCACTTGCGCCTGAGGTATATTTGACTAGGTATTAAGATGCAAAAGATATGCAGCGTGTGATTCTTTCCCCGTTTGTACAGGATGTGCTAATTTTATTTTACTTTCTGACGCATTTTTTAACAAAACTGAAATTTTTATTATTTAGTATATTATTTGAATTATATAAGTCCATCTTGCAATTTTTAAGATTGCATGGCAATCGGCTATCACGGTTCGAAATAATGATTAAAATCGAATGAAGAATATCAGTCGTTCAACGAATAGTGTTTAAGTTCGTAAACGAATGGAAATTGAAAACAATTAAGCTCTAAATGCATATATTGAAATTTTCTCTTTCCAATTGGTTTTAACCTGACATTAACAGAAATTTAATATTAAGTTTTATTGGCAAATATTTATTGTCAAAGAATTAAGAAAATTAAATTCTGATATTACATATACGAGCCATTAAATCATATATGCATAAAAGCAAAATGTGCTCATAAAATTTGTAGTTGAAAAATTATATACGTGACGTCTAGTGTATTTGAGCTACGCATTACAAATTGGTCATAATGTTATATCGTGGTTAAACTTATGTTCGGGTTTGATTCAGGATTTATTGAACGTTATTATCCTACAACGATTGTATTTTAGTATAGCGACTGGATTTTGTGCGACGTGTTGTTTCGCAGTTTCTGGAACGTCATCGTGTTTCTTAGTACAAGACGCAGTTTCGCAGCTAATTCGCAAGGGAAATCGTGCTTCTGATGCAAATTTGCGAATGCAAATTGCGCGCGAAAGTGTCAAAGTCTCCCCGAAAGTATAACTTACGTTACGTCCAAAATCACGTAGTTCATGTATATTTAAGAGCCCACGGCGTACGCTGAAATTATGCATTCCGATATTTTTCACGTAACATTCTCCCTGGGATCGTCTCCGATAAACAAGTCAGCTACAAAGTGTATTGGGTGCGATTAGCCCTTTAAAGTGGAAGATAATCTTAATATCAAATATCTGAAAATTTATTTCCCATGCATGTGCATCGTCGTTATTGAATTATGAAATTTACGACTAGTGGTGATTTGTTGGTCTAAATCGTATATTATTTAGCATCTGAATTTTTGATTATCAGTCATGTAATATACAGGATTTGTTATGTGGTTTGCGTTAAACCACAGATATACATTTTCAATTAAATTTTGATGCGACAGACTTCTCAGTGATGGGACATTATATTTCTATAATTGTTGAAATAAGCAGTAAAAGTCCAAATTAGAATTCTATTGAAAGTCACAGCTTCTTAAAATTAACTGAAAATTTGGTTATATAATTTGCTATATTAAGCAACTCTGCGATTATGCATTTAAATTTATACGGAGGTGGATTGATCCGAAATTTGCTGAGCTTTCTGAAATTTAATGTTAATCTTATGAAACATACATTGTAAGTGTTTCTGTATATTAGCATTATAATGTGCTGTTGGTCGGCTTAAGAACCCTCTGCATTTGCGATGATCGACGAGGTGAACGTGTCGCGTTGTTTGCCTAATTGATGCGTGATTCGGCCGTGGCGATGCGTGCGCACGTATTGCCGCCGTGTATAATGCGCAAATGCATCATGACGCGTTTCTAAACAATTAATTATGATGCACCTATCGGTGATCGATCAATTTGACTCGC